AGAATTAAGAACGGGATCTTTCCTGCATCACTTTGACGGATATTTATTTCAAAATACTCGTTTGGCGTTAAAGTGTAGGTACGGATAGAATTCATACCAAAATCAGGATCACGAGCCGTATGCAATTGAAACCTCTTTCCTGGTAGTGTTTGTTCTGCAATTTCAAACGTCTGCTCTCTTTCAGGGAAAGCAGGAGAATGATCATTTACATCAGTTATTTCAACATTTACGTAGTGTATTTCCAAAGGATCTTCGACGAGGATTTTTAACTCTATTAGACAAGCACCGGTTCCTTGACAGAGCTCCTCTCTGTCAATATGATTGCTGACGTATAATACCCCATTATTCTGATTTACTTCAAATATAGGATCCTTACTTCCAGAAAGAACACGGAACCGCCGAGCAGTCAACGATGTTACGTCAAAGCCTAGATCTTTCGCAACATTTCCAACAACACTTTCTTGTTTTACCTCCTCCGGGATAGAGTATCTTATTTGAGCCGATGCTTCTTTCTCCGAGAAAAGCAGGAAAGCCACATACAAAACGAACAAGAGACATTCCTTCCTCCTAATTTTTGCGTAGTTCTCCATCATCATCCAGCATTAGATGTCCTCACAAAGGCAGGGTTGTGTCACTAATGGTTATGAAAGTTCTCAGTGTATCGAATACTTGTAGGTGGTAAAACGTGGTTGTGTCGTCTGCATTTCTTTCCTGTTAAAATGCGTTGCTCCGCATAGATGACAAAGAGAAGATGGTGAGGGGAGGGTCAGAATTATCAAATGTTCTCCGTTAGTGACACCCAGAGGTCATAAACGAGCAAGGATTGTATATTTTGAATGTAGTTTTGTTTATAAAAGTTAAAAAATCAGAAGGAGGTTTTTAGATTTACAGTCCAGTTATTTAACATTCCCTTTCTTTCTCTTCATCTTCAGTTCGACCAACAATATCTTATATAAACAGCATAATTGTAGGTTTTCTTTGTCATCATATTCCTTGATGTCTTGTATTCAGGAACCATGGACAACAATAAAAATTAGTCATTTAAACTTCATTGTTGGTGACAAATTATAAGCACAAGTCAGACTATTTCCAAAGACAAGGTTTTATAAAAATGTCTAAGAATGTTTTCGATTCAGCACAAAGGACGGTGTTTACAGACAAGGAGAACGACTGCTTTTTTGTCAAGCAAAGAAACAATTGTTTCCTCCTGAGGTTGTAATTGGTTCAGTTTAAATGGGAACCAAATTTAGGTATGTACAGAAGGACAGAGTGACTGATGTAACATGACGTTTTGCATGACTTACTTTTCATAAAACATAAATATATAGAAACTGGGCCATACGAAGATATGATAAATTTGGATCCAAACAAAGCTTGAGGAAAGGGTTAAGAAAAGAGCTGAAAATCTGCCAGAAGCCCTTGAAAGAGGAAGCCTTTACAAGTAAAAAACCCACCCATGCTCTAAATGTTTCAACTAATAACTCCATCCTTTCAATCAGGTTTTCTATTACTTTCTGGATAAGGCAAATTGTTCCAACCACTGCTTGGTATACAGTGTGCAGGAACTTAGCAGAAATTAATATTGATGGCCATGTGAGTGAACAAATAAATTGAACCCTGAAAACAATCCAAAGCTTTGAAATACTAATGCTTACCTCCTCAGATGTTCTCCTCCTATCAGGCAGCACCAGTGTATT